GTTGTTCAATAGTAAAAAAATCATTTATAAAGATTTAAGATCTATCTAGAAAAAAAATTATAATTTTTTTTATTGGAATTAAATTGCTCATAATTTATTATTGTACAAAATTATGGCTATGTGGATTCTAAAATTTAAAAAATTTATATGACTTAAAACAATCCATTTTTTTCATTTTGATAGTTGTTATTAGTAAATTACTAAAAAATGTTTACGTTTCATTTTTAAAAATTAGATGGCTGATAAAAAGTTATTGATAGTTTTTTAAAAAATAATAAGGAGAAAGAAGGTGTCAATTTAACTTCTCAAAATTATGAGCCTGTTATTAAAAAACAAATTCTTATGAAAGATCTCATTTAAGTATTATTAACAATTACATTTCATTATGTAAATAAAACTTTCTAATGTAAAATATCGACAAAAAAGCTATTATATTTTCATGTTTTATGTTTATAAATCAAAATTTAAAAAAAATTTTGTGAATTCCTATTTTTAGTATTTTTTTCTTTCAATTTTTTGGACAACAACATATATTCACTTAATTTTCTTACTTAAAAAACTAATTTTACTTCATTTTTAATTTTTGCTACTTTCTTCAATTTAGAGGACACTTTTTTCTTCCAAAATGCTACTTTTTCACACTTTTTTTGACCTGCTACTAGACTTCGAAGCCTGTATTGGAGAAGTTTCAAATAATTGCAAATATTCAATTATTTTAAAAAGTAATAAAATTCTTCGGAGAAATTCAATTATATTAAAAAATTTAAAGAAATTCCCTTCAAAATTTCAATTCTCCTTGTAAATAATAAAATTCTTCTTCAAAATTCAATTATTTTCAAAAATTCTTTGCAAAATTTCAATTATTTGCAAAAATTTTCCTAAATTCAATGGTATTTAATATCCACTATTTTAATCAAATTTTCCAAAAGAATTCAATTATTTAAAAAAAAAATTTATTTAAATTTTACGCAAACGTTTAATTATTTTCATAAATAATAAAATAATTTCACAAAAATTCTATTATTTATCAATTTTTTCGCAATAATTCCATTATTTTTCATAAATAATCAAATTCATCACAGAATTTCAATTATTTTCAATACATTTTGAATTCAATTTTTTTAAAGAACTTGATTTTTAAAATTTTCAATGAAATTCTTCGTAATAATTCAATTATTTTAAAAAAATTTGATAAAGCTATATTAGTAAGAATTCAATTTTAAGAAATATTCAATGATTCAATAAATTATTTGTTTTTGTTTTTTAATAATTGAATTATCGCAGTATTTTCTATTAGAAATTGATTTAAGTGAATTTCAGTTAAAATTTTACAAGACAATTGAATATTATAAGCATTGTATCGTGAATTTTTATAAATAATTCAATTTTGAAAAAGTTTCAAATTGAAATTTTTGAAAATCTGAATTTTTCATATTTTTAATTTTAACTAACAATTCTGTAGAATTAATTTCTTTCAAAAAGTTTAATTGAAATTATTCGAAGTTTTAATTTTCAAATATATATTTAATTGAAGAATTTCCGAATAATCGATGAAATTTCGTAAAATTGAATTGTAAACAAATACATTTGAAAATTCTCAGAATTTTAAAAAAAATTATTGTAAATAATTGATTTAAAAAATAATTTTAGTTAAAAATTCTAGAAAATAATAATGGAATTGAAATTATGAAAATAATTTTATAGAAGTTACAGTAAAAATATTTTTTTTAAAAAGAAGTTATTGCTGTTTTCGAATAATTTTATAGTTAAAGAAATTCGTAAATAAATGTAATAGAACATTTTTTTGAGTATGTAATCATTTTTAATATGAATCGCAGAATATTCTTTAGGGAAAAAGAGAAAATGTCTGAAAATCAGGGAAAAGTCAGGGAAAAACTAATTTAAATTTTTGTGTCAACTCAGATCAAAATCGAATCATTTTTTAAAAATTTAATGGAAGCTATATGATAAAAAATTTGAATTATATATGCATGTTTTATAAACAAATAAATTTTTGTCCCCTTTTTAAGGAAAAAAAATTCCCCTTTTCACCTTTTTTGAGGAAAAAGGTACTGTGATGCCTGCTTTCCTTACCCAGAGGTTTTCGAGGTCGCTGTTTAAGAATACCAAGTTAGATTTTAAAAATTCAAAATGGCGGATCTAATATGGCTAACGAATTTCAAAAATTGCATGAAATTTACATAAAACTCGTTATTTAGGCGTTTTGAGGGTCGCTGATTACGAATTCGATGTTAGTCATTCAAAATTTAAAATAAATCCAATATGGCGGAAAAATAATTCCAAACATATTTAATTTGCTTTAAACAAGTTACTTAGAGGTTCTCGGTGTCGCTGAGTATGTTTATGAATTAGGAACTATAAACTTTTTTAACTATTTTAAAAATTAAAATTTCAATTATTTTAATATTATCCTCCTATTTAAAAAAGGACATGTCACATGTTCAAACTATTTGGGTCTAACGTAGCTCTGACTTTAGCATTACTATCATATATTTACTTGAGAGTCTCAACCAAGGGACACTGGAATCTTTCTCCGCGTATATTAACATTTATGTAACAATAACTATATATATAATTTATATTTTCATGTCAGTTATTTTTGAAAATATTTACAGTTGAACTTCGATTAATCGAACCTCTGTTATCCAAACTTTTTCGTCATTTTAAACTAAAAAAAAAATTTCGATTCTTGCCCCCTGTTTGTGGAGTTTATAGATACACATTTTAGATTACATACAGTATTTCGATTGTTGCAGATTGATTTCATAGACATTCCGCATTATTCCAATCTGATTTAGGATTTGTCATTTTGTTCATACTGATTTCAGATCAACGCGAATGAATTTCTTACTTTTTAGAACAATTTACTGACATCCAGACTAATCTCTCTTAATATATAGGAAATTAGTCGGAAATTTTAACCAGGGATTTATTGGTAGCTTATTATCGAGCTTTAGAAAACTGTCACATTTCAATAATAAATACATATTTTTTACTCTTCAGAACCTGCGAAAGAAAATCAGAAAATCTTAAGCTTGAAATAGCGTCTCTCAAAAAGTATTATTATAAAAAAGAATACATTTTTTGTGAGTCACATCTTAAATTTCTCGATTTTAGGATGTTCATGTTCAGCTAATTTTGTTATTCAAACCGTTGATTTTGATGAAACAATTCAGTAATAATTGTTCATACTTAGAAACAGTATTAACAAATATTGCCAAAAACGGAATTTGTTTTGTAAAACATTTATCCTAAATATCCAATTTGTCCCCATATCGTGAGATTTCTTCATATTATAGAGAGTTTATTAGATTACTTTTAAAAATTGTAAGAAAATCATTTTAGACTACATATAGCTTAATTAAGTCCATATGACTGAATGTTTTAATTTTCGAGCGATAAGAATCACGTTAATCGAAGAGAAAATAAGAAAGAACAAAATTTTATACACTTTAAAATCCTTATTAAAATATTACCTAAAATATTGGTAAATTGCTTTTTATAAAAAAAACGGGATTTAAGAAACCTTTAGTGTTGTCTGAGGGTTGAAAGATTAGTACCACATCTCAGTGATTTTTATTAAACATTTTTTTTAATGTAAAACATATTTTATTTACTCTAAATTTCTTATACATAAAAGACTATATAAAATATTTTTCATTATTTATTTATTCTGGATTATCTTGCTATTATTGGCCCCTAAATAAAATTCTTCGCAAAAATTCAATTATGTTCAAAAAGTAAAAAAAATTCTCGTCAAAATTTAATTATCTTTAAAAATAATAAAATTTTTCTCCAAATCTCAATTATTTAAAAAAAATTTATTAAAATTCTTTGAAAAATTTCAATTATTATTTTCAACAAATTTTCCTCAATTCAATGATTTTCAATATCTGTTTAAAAATGTAGAACCCACAATTAAACTGAACTACAAGCTTCGAGAGAAATGAATCGATTGCAAAATTATTAAATAACTGACTTCTTTTTGTTTTGAAAAAAAGAGATGAAGCCTTTGTCTAAAACGATTGTAATATACAAGGAAATGAGAATGACAGCATAAGTATTTTTGTTTTTCTTCAATTCTAGCTCCTTGACCGTGATTTTTAAATAGTCTTCAAAGAATTGATGCAATGTGCTATTATTTGCACTCTTGCGAGTTTTCAGATTCTTGGGTAGAAGTGGTACGTAAGTACGGCAACAATAGCTTAATAAATTAGTAGGTGGACAATAGCCCGCCTTTTCTTTCAGAAAGCACATATCTAAAGCAAAGGTGAAATGCTTTCAATTTATTTCAACCGTATTATCATATACAATTATAATTTTTAAACCTCAAGTGCAAGTATTAAATGTACTTTCACTGCGAAATGTTTTCATTTCTGACTTTGTCATTTTTCATCAATATTTTACATTATTGAACAGAAACTTTTAATTAAGGTAATTAATATTACATTTATTAGCATAAAGTTTCGGAAAATCAACTTTTTGATGCAAAACATTTATTTATAAGGTACAATTGCTCAAAATTGTTTAATTACTTATATCTTTTAATTTGACAATTTTGAGCAATTGTTGTATCGTATAAACAGTTGTTTCGGCTAAAAAAAATTGATTCTCTGAAACTTTATACGAATAAATATAATATTACCAAGTTTCAAGTAATTCAACGATTCTGTTCCAAATCATTAAAAAATCGCCTCGAGTTGCAATTGAAGTTGAATTGTTAAAATTCTTCAGAATTGTTTTATCTTTAAATATTTTAATTTTATAGAATTTTTTTATTTATTTTTAGCATTTAAAATAAAGTTAAGTTTTTGAATTTATTAATGTTTAATTAACTAATCTTTTCATTAATTTTTATTTATTATTGTTAATTTTATTAAAATATTAAAAGACAGTTGAAACAACAAAGTCAGAAATGCTCTTAGTTTGTATATTTATTGGCTGATTGTATAATAGATAATTTCTCTTTTTAAAAACTGAATATACAGGTGAAAGAGCTGTTGATGAGTTTTGGTCAATTGCGGGCGTTCAATTTGGTAAAGGATTCAGCGACCGGGCTTTCCAAAGGTTATGCTTTCTGCGAATACGTTGATGTTTCAATGACTGATCAGGCAATTGCTGGACTAAATGGAATGCAGCTTGGTGACAAGAAACTTATCGTTCAACGGGCCAGTGTTGGAGCCAAAAATCCAATGATTGGAGCCCAAGCTCCGGTACAAATTCAAGTTCCTGGCCTCACAATGGCTGGCACTAGTGGTCCTCCCACTGAGGTGATTATCATTCTTTTTATTAAAAATAACACCACTCTAGAGGCAGGAAAAACAGATCTAACTTTTAAGATTTATTTATTTATTCATTTTCCTAAAATAAATTATGAAAAATAGATCTTCTTTTCTGCCTCTGGAGTGGTGTTAACCCACGAGGGTATTTCTTCAAAATAATTTAAATAAACTTGACCGTCTTTAAGTCTAAAAAAATTTAAATCAAAGTTTCTATATTTTACATGTACGGAATAGGAAAACCATATTGTCAGATTTCGAAAGAAAACTAAAGTTTTATTTATTTATTGAACTGAAATAAACTTTTATAAAATAATGAAATTTTTTTACCGTACAATTTAAAAGATATTTAACATCAAACAAGGCTCGAACTAGGTCCGTAAATCCCGTAAAAGTCCGTAAATTTGTTTAAAGTCTGTAAAAGTCAGTTTTTTTTTTAAAAAAAAGGTCCGTAAAGTCCGTAATTTGCTTGCAAAAGCAAGAAAAGTTCGTAAATTTAATTATATAATTTGGAGAATTTTTGAGAAGTTACAATTAATTGCAAAAATTATTTTCATTACAATTATTAAAAAATTCGATGGTATTCAATAAATTAAAGAAATTTTTCGAAAGAATTCAATTTTATTCTAAAAATTTTAATAAATTTCAAGAATTAAATGTTTAATTTCAATTATTAAGAAACACGATTATTGTAAAAACTTGAAAGAAATTGTTCATATAAAATTCATTATTTTGAAAACTTTCAATTAAAATTTTTAAAGAAACTCCATTATTTTAAAGAAACTCAAAGAAATTCTTCAAAAGAATTTAATTAAGATTATGGAAAATTTTAATAAAATACTTCCCAAAAATTCAATTATTTTCATAAATAATAAAATTCTTTGAAGAAATTCAATTATTATCAAATTTTTTATAAATTTCTTCGCAATAATTCAATTATTTTCATAAATAATAAAATTTTCACAGGAATTTAATTATTTTCAAACACAATTTTCATAAAATTTTTCGAAAAGAATCAAATTATTTAAATTGATTTTTATAAAATTCTTCGTTAGAATTCAATTATTATTAAAAAAAAAAAATTAATAAAATTCTTCGTAAGAATTCAATTATTTTTGAAAATTTTAATAAAATTCGTTGCAAGACCTCCATTATATAAAATTTTTTTTTAAATTCTTCGAATCAATTGAATTATTTAAAACAAATTTTATAAAATTCTCGTCAAGAATTTCAATTATTTTCAAAAATTTTCCTCAATTCAATGATTTTTAATATCTACTATTTTAATAAAATTTTCCAAAAGAATTCACTTATTAAAAAAATGTTTAATGAAATTCTACGCAAACATTTAATTATATTCATAAAATAATAAAAATTTCGCAAGGAATTCAATTATTTACAAATTTTTATTAAATTTATTTGCAATAATTAAATTATTTTCAGAAATAATAGAATTCTTTTTAGGAATTCAATTATTTTCATAAATAATAAAATTCATTGCAGAATTTGAAAATTGTCAAAGAACTTTTTCGAAAATTATGAAAAATAATTGTTTAAAGAAGAATTTTAGTTAAAAATTTTAGAAAATAATAATTGAATTAAAATGTTGAAAATAATTTTGAAGAAGTTGCAGTAACAAAATTCTTATAATATAAAATAGTGATTTTATCAATTTGCTATCTTTAATTATTAAGAAACATGAAGAAATCGATTACTCCGAGTCGATGACTCGATATCTTCATGTTTTATAGTTATATGAAAAATTTAATTTATAGTTTTAAGTAAAATATTCTCTTTTTCGACTCGGACTGGTTATATTTTTGGCAGTAATAATTAGTTCGCAAATGGTCCGTATTTTTTTATTTTTGGTCCGTAAAGTCCGTAATTTTAAATACTTTCACTGGTTCGAGCCTTGCATCAAACTTAACCCGTCAGCAGTCGCGCCTTAAAGTGTCTTACTTGCACTCTAAGAGCGCCCTTATAGGTCGAGTAGTGTTGCGTGAGACTTTTTCTCACGGCGCGACCGCTGACGGGTTAAAAAAATTATTAGAACATTTTCTCTAATAATAAGTCAAAGGTTATTAAAAAATTATTGTTTAATGATTCTTGAATTAGTTTTGAAGTTATTCTTAATTGAAAAATGTTTTATTTATTTGTTTTAACTGTTTAATGAACTTGTTTCTAAAAACTTTTATTCGCTTAGGTTTTATGTTTACTTAATATGGTTACACCTGAGGAATTAATGGAGGAAGAAGAATACGAGGACATTCTCGAAGATATTAAGGAAGAGTGCAACAAATACGGAGTTGTGCGATCAGTTGAAATTCCAAGGCCAATTGAAGGTGTTGATGTTCCTGGGTGTGGAAAGGTATGTTGTTACAAAATAAAATTTTTTTTTATTAATTTATTAAACCTGTTTTGTTTATTATATTTCCTAATAGAGTTTATCCTCTGCTATAAAAATAATTTATAATCAGGCCATTTTTTTCGTTTATTTCTATATAAAACTTGGATTTTTTATAGGTAAAAAAATGATAAAATTTTGTACTTATGATTTGCATTTGTCAATATTGCAAAGTTTTTTATAAAATGCTGATTTTTTCAGAAACAAAGAAAAAACTTTGTATAATTTCTTTTTTTCAATGACAACTTCTTAACAATATTTTAAGTTTACATTATTTTTCTCATTTTTTATTTTATGAATGTTTATAATTTATAACTCGAACCCCAAAATAAAATAAAGTAATGAATAAAAATATTAATAATTTTTTTTTATTTTAATGAGTTATTATAGTAAAAAATAGTAAATAGAAAAATAAAATATAAAAAAATAATAGTATATTAATTTGGAAAAAATATAAATGCTTTTGCATACACAAACCGCCTCAATTAATGTTTTTTGTTATTTTTCTCGATCTATTTAGTTTATAAGTAAAATAATAATAATATTGTTATTGCAATAAAATTGTTTTCTTTTTATATAGAAAGTACTTTATTCTAAATTACTAATTGTTTTATTGATTTCTTTTGCAGGTCTTTGTTGAATTCAACAGTGTGATTGATTGCCAGAAGGCACAGCAGACATTGACAGGAAGAAAATTCAATAACCGAGTAGTTGTCACGTCTTACTTTGATCCTGATAAGTATCATCGCAGAGAATTTTAAATTATATAATTTTCCCTTTTTCATCACTTTATAATTCATTAACTATATATATAATATACGAGTGGATGTTTTTAAATTGCTTTGTTCATTAAGCATCCACGATATACGTGATAATCTGATTTAATCACGTGAAAAAAAAGAAGAAAGAATAAAAACCAATGAATTTTATACGTCGTATGTAAACATGAATATCATCAATGTTCAGTGATAAAATGTTAAATCAAAAAAACAACAAATTGTAATTCGAATATTAAAAAAGCAGCAAATATCTGTTTTAGAACGTATGTAAAACATATTTCAAGCTAATAATCCATTTTGATTTTTACTTTTTAATCTGTACGATTAGACAGAATTTCATTCTCTTTTTTCTGAAATTTGAATATAGTGAGTCAATTTGAAAGAAAACGTCATTTGTTTATAGAAATAGAAAGAACCGAGTCTGTATTCTTGGCTTTGTACAATTTGATTATTTTACATAATTTATAATGATTATAGTAATAATAATGACATTTCGTGTGAATAATGGAAGTTTTATATTTGAATTTAATTAAACATCGCCTTGTATCACAGGTTGATAAGTTGTTCCTTCCATGGGATTGTCATCGATTATAAATTTCTTTAGAATTAAATATAAACCTCCACCAATAACCAGCATTCCTAGTCCGGAAATGAGAACAATAGACCATGCTGGTATCGCTGCACCTCCTGTAAATGTTGTTAATGTTGAGTGAGTTTCAGGTATAGATACATTTATATTATATATTCATAATTTCATTATTTTCCATTTTTTTCATAGAATACAGATTTAATTTTTAAAATCTTTGCACAACCGAAGGCCATCCGGATATTATGAGTTTTTCTACTTTTTTCGAATATTTTCAAACAATGAGACTTTTTTCAAAACTTGCGACTTTTTCGACTTTTCTTCTAAATTTTGATCAAAATAACCACATTTTTGGTATAAAATGCAACTCATTTTGATTTTTAAAGTGTGAAAAGTATAACTAGGGTAAGTGTGCCAATTATGGCGCGGTTCTGGTTTAGCCGTCTTTGAAATAGAAAATTCAAAAATTATAATGAAAGAAGTAAATTTATGGCTTATTAAACTAAAAGCCCGTGTCATATAGATAATAAAACTTTTATAAAAACTTTATAAAAATTAATTATTTAAACAAAATTAAAGCAATAAGAATTAGGATTAAAAACGTCAATTATGGCGCGGTTGAGTCAATTTCGGCGCGCCAATTACGGCGGGGAAAATAACGTATATTTAGAGGTTGTGTTGCGCGCCATAACTGGAGCACGCACATTCAATGAAAATGTGCCAATTATGGCGGGGCACAATTTTTGTACTTAAATAATTAAACCAATAATAGTTCAAATGTGTTTTTTTTCGTACAATTATATCGAGTAAGGTCGAAAATAACTTTTTCTATCATTTTCAAATAACTATATTATTCTAAAATAGTAAATAATTCTATTTTTTACAAAGTCGCCATAATTGGAGCACCCGCCACAATTGACACACTTACCCTATAAACACATTTTTCAAGAATTATTTTTGAATTATTTTTCTAATTAAGTTTTCGAAATATACAATTAAAAAATTTTTCAGTGATTGAAATTTTGTAAAATTTAACTGAAAGTAATTGATTTTTTCAAGTATTTGATTGCAATTTTTGAAAATATACTTTTAAAGAATTTTAACTGCAAATTTTTTAAATAATTAAATTCTTAAAATTTTAATGAAAAATCTTTAAGTGTTAATTTATAAATATGAAAATTAGCTTCTAAAGATTGTATTAAAATATTTTTGAAAAAATTAATTCTTAGAATTTTTTACTTCTAAATTTTTAAAAATCACTTATTTTCAAAATTTCCATTACATATTTCCGAAAATTCAAATACGTACAAAAAATAACATTCAAATTTATTAGAATTATTTTTCACATTTTGGAGAAAAAAATCATGTTAAAAGTTTTTTTTTAAATTTAACAACAAAATAAGTTTCTTTTAAATTGAACAAAAATTCTTTAAAGAAATTCAATTATTTTCGAAAGATTACATTGCAATATTTTTTTTTAAAAACTGAGTCTTATAATTGTTTCTTTATAATTTAAGATTTCATTATCTTTGAATAAATTAAATTAAAGTTTTTAAAAATTTACTTATTTAAAATTATTAAAATTTTGAAGAAATCATGTTAAAATTCTTTATAAAAATTCGATTATTTTTAAAAGATTTTACCAAATTTCAATTATTTGGAAATTTTTCAATAATTGCATTAATTAAAAATCAATTAACTTTCAAAAATTATTACAATTATTACGGAAAATTGAATTTTCGTATTATTTAAATAATTGAAAGAACTTTTGGAAAATTATTAAAAATATTGATTCGGAGATGAAGTTTAGTTAAAACTTGTAGAAAATAATTTAATTTTAGAAAGGTTATAAATGTAATTTTAAGAAATTATTAAATTTCAGAATCGACTAAAGCGACTTTTTTTGCTCCTTAAAGTCAATCCGAGGCCTGTAAACTCTCGCGTTGCTCCTCAAATTTTGTTGTAAGTTGTAACGTGAGAGAGTTTGTTTTTGCACCGAGGTATCGATTTATTTTACTAAATTTAATCCCAGGTGGAAAATAATCAATTATTATTTATTTTAACTAATTTCATTTCATTAATTTCGGTTTAATTTATTTTTTATTTTTATTAAAAGTACATAATTAACTTTAGTGACTGTTAGGTATACATAATAAAATAATAATGAAAAATTAAATTATAAATGCAGGAAAATACATTTTCAATTATAGAAATATTTAGATGAAAGCGGTTTTCTCTTACTGTAATATCGTCTCGTTATAGTTTTACGTCCACGCAAAATTTTCCTACGTCCTTCAGTTTCTTCGATGAAGAATCCTAATATCACTAAAAAAGAAATAAATAAAATACTTTATCAATATTATTTAAATATTTTTCTATTTTTAGGACCTTAATTTTTATATATAAACTTTTTAAGATTTTGTGGCCTTTGGTCCGTAAAAGTAAGGTGTTGATTTTTTTTTTTTTTTTATAAAGAAATAATTTAATTGATTAGGGGAAATGCCTAATCACATGTCTCAGCTTCAAAACCATCTTTGGGTTTTCAGATCGTATGTTCCTAAGAGGTTGTAGCTTGTCCAACGATTGATCGTTTTTTTTATCTTGACTTATTATTTGTTGTTGTTGTCATTAACAAATTCAAAAAGTTTACTAAATCAACGGATCTTGATGGAATTCGAACATTCAGAATTGGCGATAGTGCGCAGGTCTCTCAGAAGCCACGCCCTGTGAAGATCGTATATGCAATCTTGCAAACTTTTGTGTCTGTTATAAAAGGGGCTCTAATTTCTATTAGTTAAGAAAATTTTTATTTACTCGAATTTTCATTTGGGAACGTTTACAAATGATGTCACGTTTTTTGGGGTAAGGGGGGGGGGGATCTCTACTAAACGTGACACAATGTATTTTTCACATGTGAAATTGCGTGACATAGGGGATATTTTTCATTTAACATCAGACTTTTTATTTTAAAAGAATTCTTATTTAAACGAATTTTTGTAAGCTGAATTTTTATATGTCGGAATTCCCATTTCATCAAATTTTTATTTTCATAAATGGTCATTTGTAAGAATTCATAAAACACTGAATGCTAATTTAAAACAAATTACAAGTGGTCGAAATATTTCAGCGCAAACTTTAAAATTAACCAATCGAAAATTTTTTAATGCATTCTGATTGGTCCATTTTAAAATTCGCGTTGAAATATTTGGGTCACCTGCTGCTTGGGAATATATTTGACTAGTTAATAATAAAGAAAGATAACTAAATATTTTTTCCGGTTAGCGGTAATTTTCGAAAATTTTTTCATTTTTTTTAAGCCAATATAAAAAGTCAAATAATGAGTAAAATATAAAAATGATCATTATTTAAAATTTTTTTAAATCTTCAAAAATTCATGTTTTCTATTTGTTGTGAGTTACTTTTTTCTAACTGCTCTCACAAATAATGTCTTTTATCTATAATCATATTTTTTCTTAAAAATCAAACTAAATTTTACTTGAAGCCTATAAAAAATGCATGACAATGATTGATTTCGTTTAGTAAAAAGTAAATTCACTTTTTAATAAAATTTATAAAATTACTTACATAAACCAATTGCGAGATAATACAAAACACTTTTAGTCTTCATTTTTTTCATTTGACATTTAATTTTTATAAACTGAAAATTCTTCGCTGCTACAAATTGGACGTCTCTCTTGAAAAGTGATTCAACACTGATAACATATTTTGATAACAGGTAATAAGGTAACATCCTTATCTAGTATCTACTCTGACACATCGAGATAAAATTATAAAGAAACACTTTTCATAAAACGAAAATTATATATATAGAGTATTATCAACTATATACATTCTTATTTATTTACATTAAGCATATTATAAACATTAAACAATATTGATTATTATGCCATATTAATATAGTTAGTATAATTTATTCTTGCGCGCATTTTTTTCTTTGTTTGTTAGAAATAACAATTAACTATAATAATAATTTAAATGTTTTTTCATTCTTTGATTCATTCATTTCTTCTGTACCCCACACTCTGAAGTTACACACGGTAAGAAGAGAGAATGAATAAAATGCGTATACAAAATTAAACAGAATATAAATGTGCGCAGACGAATTATCTTTAAAGGGTAATTAAAGCATGCAACTTTAATAATGACATTAGTTTGGCATTGAAATGATTCAGAATTGAGCGATATTTGTATTCATTTTAATTTCTTTCAATAAACCTCTTCTTACTACATATTAAATCTAAACATCTGATATACTAAGCTTGAAAATCTATATAGATAATATATTTAAGTATCTCCGTTTTAATATCTAATACGTAGGGCACAATTTTGATTTTACTATATATTTTTGAAATTTTTTTTTCAAATTACGTAAAAGTCGATACAGAATTTTAAAGTTCAACAGTCAAGAACGAAATATTCGTGGTGGGCCAAACAAAATAATTATAATTTTCTTTTTTACAATAAACACCCATGTAAAATTTATTACACCATAATTATAATTTTATAATTTTTTTCTTTTCTAACGTCATTTGTTTTCACTAACCTTATATCCCTTTTTTCACAATAGAATCGTGGGTCTATTGTTATGAGCTTTGGGGTCTCATTTTAACATTTCAAGTGAAATGAATATAAATTCAGAATCTAAAAATCTCCACGATTACAAATATCTAAAATTTATTATAAAAAACATTTTTTAAGGAATCTGTAACGTATCTCGAAAACCGTAATTGATAAATAAAAAAGGATATCATTTAACTCAAGTCTGCGATGTTCTGTGGCTGCAATCATAACAAAAACAATCTAAAATCATCAGAGATTCTGAATAAATTTCTGTCGCTTTGTGACTTTATTTTTAGTAGGGTAATTAAAAATTTCAAAAAAAAAAGAAATTTAACGGACCTTAGTTAACGAAAGAAAAATATAACGGAAGTTAACAAGTCCGTTAACTGTTTTTAAAATTAACTTAAAAGTTAAATCGTTAACGAAAAAATTAACGGAGTTAATTAACGATTAACGGATTAACGCTTTTCTGCCCACCTTTGAAAAATTGTAATGCGAATTTCTCTGGTTCTTCTGGGAAGTTATTCAGATGAGAGTTGTTTTAAGTTTTGTACATCCTTAAGATGAAAATCAAAAGGTTTTAATTTTTTCCGCTTCTACCTCCATTTTAAAACAAAAACAACTTTTGCAACAGACCGACAAAGTGGTCCCTTTTCATTTTTTTGTCTAACAACGAAATAAAATACTTAAATTTTAATAAATTAATGAAAAATGCATGATTCGACGTGTGAGACCTTGTAGATTAAGAAAAAAAATAATATTTTTTTCAAAATTAGTAAATTTTCGATTATCTCAGAATCTAGAACCGACAAAGTGGTCCCTTTTTATGCGGACATCCACATATAATGTAATGACTGTAATTAATAATTTCCTCGACATTTTTTATTACGTTTATTTAAATTGATTTTCAAATCAATTTATGTATTTCAACCAAAGGTCAATTCATTTCTATTCGCAGTTTAATCTGTTTTTTTACTGCGGGTTCTATTGCAGTTCAGTTCATGGAATTTATAATTATAATCAAGAACATTAATTTCTGTAACAATGTTACTTTATATAATACGGCAAAGTCAGAAATGATATCCCTGTCGAAATTTGTGACCAAAAATAAAAGGTTTAATTAGTGTTTGAAAATAGTTTTATACTAATTAAACACAGAATTCACTATCTTGAAACACATTTATTGTGTTCTTAAACACGCAATTCCCATGGAATAAAAATTTTATTCCAATCTAGTTCACGGTGCGTCTAGTCAAAATTAAATGAAAAATGATATTACCTCAAATTTTTTTGTTGATTCTGTATCCTAGCCCTATATAGACATATCTTATGAAGAGACGAAAATTGTAAGTTTAGCGCTTTTTTTTAACGACGTCAATTATATTTTTTGATAATTTTTACATTTTTCAACATATTTTATATCATTTTAAACATATATAATTACGTAGCCCTTAAAAGTTTAAAACCGCTGCTAAGTTGTATATTTTTTTATAATTTTGGTGCTCATTTCATAAACACTTTGCTTCCTCATAGAGGTATAATAATAACAGAAATATATGAATAACTTTTCATAAATATGGTAAAAGTGATTGAATTTTGGGTCAATAAATGTATTTTTAAATATCCTACAAGATAGTTATAATAGTTTAATAGTTAAACAAAAATTTTCAAACAAAAAGGTTGAGAAGATGTCTTTTTCCACAATTTTTGGTTTTTAAAATACCAATAATTTCGAAATTTATTATCGAATTAGGTTCAAAAGTAGGTAAATCGAAGCGTTTTTTAATGCTCTACAAGTTGGTAACGACAATTTAAAAGTTACTTCTACATTTTTCAACAAAATTTTCAAAAAAGGCTTATTTTCCAAAATTTTTTATTTTTAAAAGTTTAATATCTCTGGTCAATATAAACGAAAAATGTTCAATTAGGGCTCAAAAGATGCGTCTAAAAAAACTCTACAACAAGTTGTTCATTTCATGACCATTTAGCTTCCTCAATGTATAAAAATTGCGGTTTTGCAAACTTTTAAAAAACTATGTACAAAAGGATTCGTCCAGAAGATTTGTTAAAAATAAAATTATATAAATCATTTATAATTTATAAGTTGTTATATAAATATTTGGTAAAATTTACACTTTCATTTGCCAATTGCTTCTTTTTTATGATAGAATAATCATTCAGGGTGGCCACTTTTTTTGTAAAAAAAAATTCACGGTCATTTCCCGGTCATAAATTATTTTTCCCGGTCATAAATTATTTTTCCCGGTCATAAATAATAACTCTGAAAATAAATTATTCCATGAAAGATTGAAAGAATTTCCTGATTTTTAGACAAAACTTTGACTTTTTCCCAAACCCTAAAAATATTTTAGTTTACTCTAAAAATAATTTTGAACTTAAATAGATTTTTTGAAATAAATATTTAATTATTATCCATTATTTTTCCATATAGTAGGTATTCAAATTTCAAAAAAAAATTAAAATTTCAAATCCTTTAAATTTGAATAATTTTTAAGAATTGCTACTGCAACTTATTAAAAATTATTTTCAAAATTTTAATTCAATTATATTCTAGAAATAACTAAAATGTTTCTAAAATCCACTTGTTTACAAGACAATTTCATGAAATTTTGAATAATTTGAAAATTTTTCAATTAAATATTACATATTTAAAAACATAACTAATTTGAGAAAATGTGAATAAAAATATTTTTAAAGACTAAATTATTCAGAATTTTTAATTAAAATCTTTTAAAATTCAACTTTTCTAAAACTTCAATTTTAAATTTTTTAAAATTCAATCTACAATAATATTAGTAATATTAATTTAACATTCTAAAAAATCGAAAAATTTGCTTATGAATAATTGTAAAAAAACTAATTGATATTAATGAAAAATACGGTTTTTTAAAATTTATTTTCTAAGAAAAGAAATTTTATTTATTTTTATTTACTTTATTTATTATTCAAAAATTCATTTTTATGAATTTATCGTATCACTTTTGTTCTAATTAGTTCAAATTTTTAATAATTCTTATTTGTTTTGTTATAATATTAATTGCAAAAAAATTTTTAAATTGATTTATTTTTCATTATTTTATAGGATGTGAAATTTTTTCTCTTTGAAATTTTTTTGACAAATTTAATTAAAATTATATTTTGTTTAATTATTGTTAGAAATAGAAAGAATTTAAAATTAAATTTAATATTTTCTTTTTCTAAGTATGTTACGTTGGACAACAAAATTCATAATTTCCTTATAAATTCTAGATATTGAATATTTTTATAGTACTTTTTATAAAATTCTCTGACAAAATATAAATAGATTTTATAGAAGATCATTCAATCTTTTTTAATGAAATATAGTTAATACCTAAGTCTTAAAATAAATATTTCTATTTTTCCTCACAAAGTAATGTGTGTTTTTAAAAAAAAATTCCAAAATCCCGGTCAAGATCAAAATTCACTGTCATTTCCCGGTTTTTCCCTGTCCAAAAAAATTCACTGTCATTTCCCGGTTTTCCCGGTCCAGCGGCCACCCTGTCATTTCAAAATATTAATTTTAAATAAATTATGAAAAAAATACAAAATTTGAATTTTTTTTTAAAAAGAAAAATATTTATTAATTTGATAAATTTTGATAAAATATATACTTTGTATACATCAATCGATTCGTTTTCTTGTCAGGAATGTAATTTTGAGAATAATTAATAAAAATATTAACAAATAAAAAAATTATTTCAAAAAATACAAAAAAAACATTTTTCTGAATTTTAAAAAAATTGTATAAAAAAAATTTTTGTAGATATTTTTGAAAATCCTTGTGTTAGATTTTAGGTATTAATGACTGCAATAAACCTGCAAAATTTCATGACAATCCATCAAAATTTGTCTGAGCTCTGAGATAATTTGTACACAATTTTTGTGACACACATACACACACACACACACACACACACACACACACATACATACACACATACATACACGGAAAAAACTGCATGGTTGGGTCAACCATATATATTGAAAAATACGGGATATCCATATTTAAGGTTATCACATCCATTTTTATGGATACCACATCCATTTTGATAATTGATAGATACCACATCCATTTCTTTAGTTGACACATCCATAGAAATGGGTGTGATAACCTTAAGTATGGATATCCCGTATTTTTCAATATATATGGTTGTCCCAACCATGCAGTTTTTTCCGTGTATAACCTTCTTTTGAAAAATTGAAAATCGTCACCAATGCAAAGCTTCCTCATGAGGAAGCAAAATTATGGAAAAACATTTATAGGTATCCTAACATTTTTTTAAAGTTATGGGCAAAAAATGTTTTTTTGAACAATTAAAAATCCAAAAAAAATTTAGTTAAACTTTATTAATCTATCACAAAGTACTCTCACTTTATGTCCGCAGGTGAGATCTACAATTTAAAGAAAAATTCAACCCAAAAGCTCTTCATGATTTCGAGATATTTATGAAAATGTGATGTTTACACACACACACATACGGAATGACATTTTTTAAAAATGTCATTTTTGAACTCCTGAGGTCGAATAAGATAAAGATATATGTCAAAAAATCGAACTCAAAAAATTTTGGTATTACAATACTTCCTCTATGAGGAAGTAAAATGATATAAAATATGTTGAAAAATGTAAAAATTATCAAAAAATGTAATTGACGTCGTTAAAAAAAAGCGCTAAACTTACAATTTTCGTCTCTTCATAAGTTATGTCTATATAGGGCTAGGATACAGAATCAATAAAAAAATTTGAGGTAATATCATTTTTCATTTAATTTTGACTAGACGCACCCGATGTTCTAGAAATGTGCCCGAAAAATGTTACAATTTTTATTTCTTTTTTCATTCTTATTTCTCTTATAACTACTATTTTTTATAGATTCGATTAAATATGTCTATTATTATATTGACAATTATTAGTATTTATTTTCTAATATTTGTTATTTATTTATTAATTTAAATATTTAGTAGTATAGTAAATTACTTAAAACGAAATTCCCTATGCTAGTAACACATAGTGACTTTAAAATTCTTTGATTTTCATAAAGGCCTAAGCACAACTGTTCGGTTTCGGGGACGGTTTCGGGATATGTAAGATTTACATACATTTTGAGGTTAGGAATTCTTGTAATTCGTTTCAATTGCATATATGTAAGATAGAAAGTGTTTAAAATTCATTAAATCTGCAAAACATTGAAAAGAAATTTCAAAATTGTTTCTCTCCAACTGGCTATCTGGCGTCACATCTCGAAACGACTCTGACGTCACAAGTGAAACAGCCGAATTGGAGAAAGGCCTTTAAAAGAAGGTGTGTAAACGCCTTTACACCATCTATTTAATCTATTAATAATTTTTTTATTTGCATTTGAACAAATACGGGCATAGAAAATGGCAAGTGAAAAAAAAACTAAATCTTTATCTAAACGTGGAAAATCCAATGAAGAAATTTTTGCGGGTTTTCAAAGTCTCAGAAATGAACAAAAACTGATGGCTAACAAGCTTTCAGAAATGGAAATGGAACTAAATGAGCACAAGTAAGAAAATTTTATACATAAATACAAACATGTTACCTTCTAACCTCTAAATGTTAATTAGAATAAATAAATCAGAGTGTCTATTTTGCCAGTCCTCTAGCGAAATAAGAAGAACAGCTTATTTTTCTAGTCAAAAAAATATTCAAGGTTACCTGACTAATAAGTACCAACAACAGAACACTGTAACAGAAAAAAAATATGATTTTAAAATTGAAGTGTCAACAAATTCGTTCTACTCTGAATGTAGAATATTTTTAATTAAAAAAAATAATTTAGACAGATTACATTATATACTTTAAGAAGTGCTTTACTTAAATGCAATAAACTTTACCATTTTTGTGTAAAAAATTCTTGAAAAAACGTGCGTTTACACGACTTTCCCTCCTTAAACATATCACACATGACGTGATAATTTGAATTTATTTACACTGTAAAAAAGGATTTTTTGAGAATTTACTAATTACAGAATCCTTGTAACCTTACAATTTCATTAGTAAATTCTTAAAAAATCCTTTTTTACAGTGTATATTTAACAGATAGAATTTTTTAATAAAAATAAATTATTTTGATTTTTTAAAAAATTTATAACCATACAACTTTTTATTATTTATGCAAAAATATTATGGTTATAAATTTAAATTGATCCTTTTCAATGTAAAACACGACTTTGTAAATTAAACAACTTTTAAATCATAAAGAGAAATAGAATGGCAACCATTCTGTCCTTTTGTACATATAATCTATATACTTTAAACTATTTTTTAATCAATTTTCGAACATTTTTTATATGGTCTAATATCTTTTCAAAAATAAACTTGAAATTATCGTTTTACTTTTTTCAACAATCTTAGTATTAAAAATAATCAAATTTACTTTTTTTCAACAATTTTAAAATTAAAAATAATCAAATTCAATTATGTTCAAAAATTTTTAGAACTTATCTTTCAAAATAATTAAATTTATCTCCGAAATTAAATTATTTTCAATAATTTTAATAATAATAATAATTCTTGTCAAAATTATCCATTATTTCCAAAAATATTCCTCAATTCAATGATTTTTAATATCTACTATTTTAATAAAATTTTCCAAAAGAATTCAATTATATAAAAAAAATTTAATAAATTTCAACGCAAATCTTTAATTATTTTTCAAGAGTAATAATATTCTTCACAAAAATTAAATATTGTTTAAAAATAATAAATTATTCTTCTTAGGGATTCTCGGGACAATATGTAAAATTTAATTATTTATAAAAGTAATAATATTTCTCCTTTTTACAGATAATTATGGGAAAATTAAACATCAGAATCTCAATTTATTTTAATGCGCATTAAAATTTTGTTTAGATTATTTTTAATGTATAAAAATAGCATTAATAATCGTGAAGTAATTTTAACCTAAAACTGAAGACAAAGTTTAAACATTTTTATCATATATAAAATAGAGGTCTAACATTTTTGAAAATGGACATAATGATAGAAAGGACATTACACTTCCTGACACTATTTTTAACAAATTTCTAAGAGTTTGAAAAAAACCAAAATAACTTAGTTTTCTTGTAGAAGTCCTATTGGAGACATTTTAAAAAGGCTTCCAAGATAAGATTATTTTAGCCATTACATGAATTCAGTCGAATAAAATTGTTTAATTTTTTTTAATGAAAAGTAAGTGCTAAATTTTTACTATGAAAATGATTAATAATTATTATTAGACAGTGGATTTTATTTTATAGATTTTATTTTATTTTATAAATTTATATTATGTTTTTTTTAAAAACAAGGGGAAAAGGGGAGAAAACGTATGATTTTAGGTGTTTTAGGGGATTTTAATAATTTAAAGGGATAAAAAATAAGTATACATACTTTAACAGATATTGTCCACCAATCAGAAAGAGTTATTTTCCTTATTTTGCCAGTTTTATTGTTGACAATTTAATTACAGTTGCTTATATCGCTAGACGTCTGGTGAACAAGACACTCCGTAAATAACTATGTACTTCTAATACTAAACAAATTATTAAATATTTAGTTGTCGAAAATTATAATAACAAATTAACATGTCTAAAGAAATAAGTATTTCAAAATATTTTATTTTTAGAATTGTCATCGACACTTTAAAAACTGTAGATCCAAGGAAAAAGTGTTACAGAATGATAGGTGGAATCTTGTGTGAACGTACTGTTCAAGAAGTGATGCCAGCGTTAGTTACGAATAAAGAACAGGTAAATTTTTTTATAAAAGTTTCAGAAAAGATTTTTCAAAAATGAAATGAAAGCATGTTTTGAAATTCTTTATCAAGTAATTCAATTATACTGGCTTGAAAATTTTTCGCTAATATTTATTATTTAACACTAAATATTAAAAGTACTAGAAAAAATTAAATTTTTAGAATTCATAAGAAAATTCTGAATTTTTGTGTCGTTTTGTTTGCCTCATAAATTATGAAATTACCACGAATTCTAAAAAAATCTTAAATTTTTTCTATCTCTGACAAGAATGAATTTTTTAATATTATTTATTATAATAAAGATTTAAATAAAATTCTTTGCAAAATTTCAATTCTTTTCAAAAGTTTCTCGCAATTCAATAATTTTCAATATTTACTATTTTCATAAAATTTATCAAAAGATTTAATTATTGAAAATTTTTTTAATATAATTCTATTAAAACATTCCATTATTTTCATAAATAAGAAAATCTTATTTAGGAATTGAATTATTTTTATCGCATAATTTCAAATATTTTTGACATAATTTTAAATAAATTCCTCGAAAAATGCAATTATCTATTCTTAAAAATTTTATTAAAACTTGACGAAAGAATTTAATTTGAAGAAACATTCAATTATTTAATAAAATAATAAAATTCATTGCAATAATTCAAATATTTTCATAAATAACTTTTAATTTGTCGCAGAAAATCAATTATTTTCAAATTTTTTTAAGTAATTCTACAAAAGAATTCAATTATCTTGATAAAAAACAAAATTCTTCCCATAAAATCAATTATTTTAAGGAATTTTAATAAAATTCTTTTTCAAAACTCAATTATTTTGATAAATATCAAAATTCATCGCAAGAATTCAATTCTTTTGGAAAGTAATAAAATATTTTGCAGAAATTAAATTATTTTCAACTTTTTTTTAAAATTCTCGTGAAGAATTAAATTATCTTTATAAATAGGTATAGCGAAATTCTTCTCCAGAATTAAATTATTGTCAAAAATTTTAATAAAATTTTTGGCAAAATTTCAATTATTTAAACAAAATTTAATGAAATTGTCCGCATGAATTCAATTATTTTAAAAAATTTTAATAAAATTCCTTAAAAAGTTTTCAATTATTTTCAAAAATTGTTATAAAATTCTTTAATATAATAAATTTTAGTACATTTTTAATTAAATTTCTTAAAAGAAATTAAATATTTTCAATAGTTAATAAAATTTTTCGTAAACATTTAATTTTAAGAAACATTCAATTATTGAATAAATTATTTATTTTTGTATTTAAATAATTTGATTCTCGTAGAATTTTTTTGAATAAAAATTTATTTAAAAATGAATTTCGGTTAAAATTTTAGATAATAATTGATGAATATTATAAACATTATAGTATGAATTTTTAGAAATAATTAAATTTTGAAAAGGTTTCAAATCCAAATTTTTTACTTTCTAATATATATTTAATTGAAAAATTTCTAAATAATCGAAATTTCGTAAAATTGAGTTGTAAACACATGGATTTGAAAATTTTCAAAAAGCTTTTTCAAAAATGATTTAAAAATAACTGATTTAAAGAAGACTTTTGGTTAAAAATTCTAGAAAATGGTAATTGAATTAAAATGATGAAAATAATTTTGATGAAGTTACAGTAACAATATTCTTATTTAATATAAAATAATGATTTTTGTTATATATAAAACATAAATAAATTACTATTGTTACTATTGTTTTAAAAAAATTACTATTGTTACAGTTAACAAAAGTCATAGAAACTTTGAACGAGCAATTAACAAAGAAAGGAGTCGAGATTAATGAATACAAGGAGAAACATAATATAAGGATTAGAGGTCAAGACGACATTCCTCAACAGGATGAGGATTCAAAAGAATCGAAAAGAAATGCTATAGTTGTAAATCCTATTGAAGTTTAGTACGCCATCAAATGTTCGTCTGGAAACTGAAATCTTGAGTGATGATAATAATGTTTCACTTATTTGCTGCATTTATTTATTAAATTGTTTGCAATCATCACTGAAAATTTTGAAAATTCTATCTATTTTCAGGTATCTTTAATCAACATTTATCATATATTTATCAAGTTCATAATGAATTTAAGATTATTTTTCAATAATTGTAAAGAAATAAAATTATTTTCAATTCTCATTTTCTAATATTAAGCTTAGTGACGCAAAGTAATATCGTTGAAAAACAAATACAATGTTTAAAAATAAAAACTGCTTTATTTAAATTCGCTCACAAATAAATATTGTCTAAATCATTGGTATTGTATTAAAGAAATAAATTTTTTAATCTCTATTTAATATGAATTACAATAGGTTAATTACTTTCCCATGTTTTAATTGAATAATTTATTTTCATAACTAGTAATACAAAAGTTCAGTATCGCGAAATGTTCAAGAAAAGGAAGTTTTAAAACTTTTATCAAATATTATTAATCTATAGAAAACTATTTTACAATTTGGAAAAATTAAAATACATTTCGGCAAATAGGACACGATGACTTTTGACTCGTATTGAACCATTTGTACAAACAATTTGTGTGGAATTTCTTTCTACATGTGTGACAAGATGACTTTGGAATTTGATACGTGCTAATGTGAAAAACACTAAAACAAATACAACATTCTTCAATTCCCGCAAATCTTTTGTCAAGATTCGTTTTCCACAACATTAGTCCATCCCAAAGACTGCCATTCTGATGTGTAAGAAGAATCGATAATTGCATATGACAATTTCTCCAATTTACCGTTCCTCCAACATATTGACAAGGAGTGATTGTCACTGAACTGAGTGGATGATTAGTGGGCAAGACAATGCTTAATTCTAATTTCGTTTCATCCATTTGATAAAGAGCAATTACTTCCCTAGCGGTTGGTAGAACTTTCACCTGCATATTCTCAATATTGACGAATTTACTACTTTGTAATTCTTCTTGGCACAGCATCGAACTTACGTACATTGTGGTTATTTTATCAATCGCAGCCCTCACCCGACTGTCAGTCGCATTCCACCATTGTCTCACCAAAACCGGAAGACACCTCAGACAATTTGTATACAACCAGCATGCAATGTGATCCAATCTCCATTCTGTCCAGCTTTCCGAAAATTCCAAAGACGGCTTCGTGGTGAAAATTTCAAAAAGCTTGGGCGATTTCACCTTCGAGTCCTGCAGAATCTCAACAGGCATCAATTTAAAAATACTCTCCATTAGGGAAAAGAAATAATTCTTCTTGAGAATTTCCGCATATTGGTAGCGCAAATCACCGTGGGCTGAAGTGCAGAGTTCCAAAATAATGTTCCACGTTAAAAGGTATCCCAATGTGTAGGTATAGGAGTCAGTGTAAGGTTGAATCGTGCAACTTATAATATCGCAAAGTTTATAGTCCATTAGCATGGTTTTGACAATATTTTGAACGTCAGACAGGAAATGTTCGAATTTCACTAAATTTAGAGATTTCGGATCAAAATTATCGTCGAGAATTAAAATCTTGTCGCTCTCAATCAAAATCGGCACTATGTGTCTCAGCATATAATATGCGCCGAGCTGTAGATTTGGATTTGAAGACGTTAACAGACTCAAGGATGATGAGATCACTTCGTCAACTCTCAATGTGTTTAATCTTGATTCGATTTCTTCTTTCTCTCGATTGCAGAATATTGTCCCGTCCAGAAGTTTCACTGCATTTCCTAAAGAATTCAGAAGAACTGGATTTGAAGTACCTTCTGTGTCCTTTGACGATTTTTTTTGTTCTGTTAAATCTTCCTTGGTTTTGCTGAAACTTATCCAAATTCGAGCAATTCCAGCTTGAGCGTGAATGAGAAAAACGTTCTTCCACTCGTCTATCAACTCGGGCGGCAATTCTTCAACTGGATTAGTCTCGTGATTGTTCATCGTAATTTGAACTGCAGAATAAAGTCTGCTGATGGCAATGACGAGAGCTGATACATGAAGAGGATAACGTTTCAATTCCTCACACCAGTTTAACGTCTGAAGAATGGAAACCTCGAGTTCCACCATAGAAGTCATTATCAGGTCCCAATGAGCAGTTGTTAGTTTTGCAGGATCTATTGTCACTAATTTCGTGAAGCTATTTACAATTTCGAGAGTCAGTGATAAATCAGAAGATGCCTCCATAATCACTTTGTTGTACAGGAACAAACAAGGATTTCGTTCCTTCATCACCTGATCCAATATCTCAATCAGTTTTGCTGCATTCGTCATTTTACTTCTTGCAATGATTAGAACTTCTACTAAAGAGCAATTTTCGAAATTCATCGAACCTAAGAGTTTTTCTTCTTCGAAATATTCGGGTAATACTTGAATTCCACGAATGAAAGAGACTCGCTTATCTTCGGATTGATCATTCGAAGAAAGAATATTCTCATAATTTTTAAAGTACATTGAAGGGGTTACGTCAACTTCGAATTCTGTGTGATATACATGTAATAGATGAGGAAGAATTTTATCATAGACATTATTTTCAAAAAATTCTCCTATTTTGCCTAAAATGTTGTGTGTGAGGTAATCTTTGAAGGGGATAAATTCTCTCGAAATCTCTTTTAGAAGATAATTCACTCTGGTGTAGTACTTTGATGATTGATAATGTTTCTGATAGATTTTGCCAAGGGTGAAAACGTAGAAAACATTGAAGAACATTTCCAAAAGATTTGCCAGAACAATGTCTTCAATGGATTTTAAATCTGACTCTTGATATTCTTTGTGTATTCGGAAAAGTAATTTATTGAATACCTTCATTGTGAATAGGGCCCATTGTAAAGAATTCTCGGAATAATCACTAAAATTCGATTTTACTTCGATGGTAATAAACTCATTCCACATTCGAATTTCTTCGTTTTTCGTATTTTTATCAAAAACTTTTTCAAACGGTGTATAAAGATTTCCAGTGACAGTTTCTGCGTAAAGAACAAGTCCAGAAAAATGAGTCATCCAATTTTTTAAATTCACTGTCGTTACGAAGAGTTTGATAATTTCTTTATTTCTTTCCGTTTCACAATATCCGCTACTTTCTATCACTGACTCTATGAAATAAGACGCAATTTCAATTACGGAATTATTTATCGAATTCATAGCTTCGAAATCAACAAATATCTTCTTCCATAGAATATTTGACAAATTTTTGACGAGGCTTAAAAAGTTTTCATAAGGAATAATGCTACATACTTGAGAAATTTTTTGTTTACAAATTATTGAAATTGATTCTTCTGTTTTCATGTTACTTTTCATGATCAGTTCAAAAAGGCTCTCGAGAAGCAAAGAAACAGCGGCAATAAGCGATGGGTCTGAAAGATTTTTATAGGCACATGTAAGATGAAGAATTTGAGAAATGAATTCGCTTAGAGATTTTGAATTTGTCTCGGATTCGTTAATAGAAGAAACTAAAGTTAATACGAGAGTGTGGATAGATTCACTAGAAATTAAGGGAATACCATCATCAGTTGTTTCGAAAGCTAAAAGAATCATTTTCTTGTTTGCTTCAATTTCATTGGACTTAAAATTTAAAATCGATTCGGCGACATCTTTGATAATTAATCCAATGTCAAAATTAGCGCACCAATATTTAATTGCCCTATTGTTTCTATTTTGCTTTGATAAAGCACTTAAAACTGCATTTTTCAAAACTTGGCTGTTATTTAATTCGAGTAAAGAGTTTAAGACTTGCTTTTGATTCGACTCTTCCATATATTTCAGAAGGATAAAAACTAATTGAACTGAAGATTGAATCTCTTCCGTATCTCCATTGAACCAAGTTTTTATAACTTGATAAAACGACATCAAGTCACCGTCATCTTTAAGTGTTTTTGAAAGTACAATAAAAAGCTCTTCACTCTCGAAATTCAAAACAAATTTAACAAATCGATGAATATTTTTCGGTGACTCGGATTTTATTCTCTGGAAATAAATTATTGAAAGGGAGTGAATGAAATTTTCGAATCTAATTAAAAATAGTTTATCGTCTTCTTGAGTCGGAGTTTTCGTTGTCGTCTCATTTTCGCTAGATGCATCATCAGAGAATTTTACTTTTCTAACAGGTTTCGGATTTGTACAATTTTTTACAGCAAGAAGAAAATCGATCTGTACATCAAAAAGGGAGGAAGACTTTCCTTCTTCAAAATTCTCGTCCCCCAGAGTTTCAAGTTTTTCAAATATTATTTTCAGCTCCAACCAGAATTGATCGACTAAATGAGAATAAGTGACGCATTCAACAGACAATTTTGTCCAGTATCGAATTAATTGTGCGATTTCGAAGAATAAAATCTTTCTGTAAAGAATATTTTCAACTAGGGAAAGTTCTATCACTGGCATAAAATGTTCTCGCAAAAGACGCAGACAAAGTTCTTGATCATTTGAATTGATAAGTATAGCGTATCGTAAACACTCCGCGAATGAAGTTAAGATTGCATGAGTTTCGGAGTAAGTCAACTTCCCCATCTTCATAGTAAAACCCTCTCGCAAATTTGTGAAAAAATTGAGAAACAGTTCCTTTGAATCGAGATTAAATTTCGGGAATTGGCCAAGAAATGGCAATAAATGAGGATACATTATAGTCGGACAGCATTGACTTCCATTTTTCAAAGTGCGCCATAGTTTCGGAAGAAGAAACTTGTCAATACTCACTACTTGATACCAATTTTCTAATTTAGTTACTGCAATCAGCATCGCCTCCCAAATTGCTGACAGAAGTCCCGGATCGTTTACGTCGAGATTATTTATAATCAACGTCATCACTCGTTTCTTTTCGTTTTCAATCAACACCATTGCATTTTGAATCACAGACGAAAGCACATTGAAGAAGGATGTTTTAATGGTAATATTCTCGTGACTTCCCAGTTTCCAGATTTTATTGTTTTTCCCAAAAATCATGTGATGAATCTCAATGGTTTTCTCAATTTCAGAAGAAGGAACGACTTTTAGATAAAAACTATAAGCCTGTAAACACGAAATTATCAATCTCTGATGTTTTGCCTCGAGTTCTTCGGCAGTTAATGACAATTTGTTGGTTTGCAATTGTGGCTGATTCGATATCGCCTCAAAAATGTATTTCAAAATCTCCTCCTGACAGTGAATGATTGCACTGATAATTTTGTTAGGCGGGAAAGTTTCATTGAATGAATTGAGAGCTGCTGATGCTGCTGGAGCATAAGTGTCATATTGAGATGTGAACCATGGTCCTGCGAGTTGCTTCAAATGAACTGCTATATGTTTACCAGCTCGTTTCACTACTATTGCGTGAGATAATTGAGTCATTTCTCTCACTTTGTGTTCTATATCGTTAGCCAATTGTCCATAAAGTCGAGACCAAAAGGGCAGAAAACTCTCAAATGAAGATTGTTCTGATTCCCGACAGAGCTCCATAAATTCCTGTAAGGCTTTACATTTCGTCGTAGAATCCTTTTTATTCATTTTTTTCAGCACTAGATAGTACTTCGGATCAATGCTTTTTATATCTACATCCCTGATTGTGCTAATACTGACAGTAGGAAATAGTGAATGACATCCTCCTCCATCTTTTATAATGCTGCAGGAAGAAAAACCTAAAAAAATAAAAATACAAACTTGACAATTAACTTTTTAAAATTATTTTTCTCGTTCATATTCTCTATTGAAAAAATATAAACTAATCAGGGACCGCTTCGGAAACGAAACTAAATAGAAAATTACTTTCGTTTCAGTGTTTGAGTTGACACGAAACTAAATTAACAAAGTGACTTTAGTTTCAAGTCGGCACGAAACTAAATTAACAAACTGAGTTTAGTTTCGTGTCGACTCAAAACAAAAGATTGAAAAACATAATTATTTAGTGTCAATCACAGAAAAATTGTTTTCCCTGACTTACGTAACTAGAGCAATAAAGCTATTCAAGTTGGGTGGGGGAAAATTCAAGATGGATGCTAACTGGTGCACAAACATTGTATAGAAAGTGTATGGGATAGAGTCTAATTTTTTAAATATCTCGCTTAAACGAAATTTTTAACCATAAGTTTATTAGGATTTTATGTTTCATTTTTAAAGAACTATTTTTTGCAATAATAAAATCAATAAAAAAATAAAATCGATTTTTATTATTGCAAAAATAGTTCTTTAAAAATGAAACATAAAATCCTAATAAACTTATGGTTAAAAATTTCGTTTAAGCGAGATATTTAAAAAATTAGACTCTATCCCATACACTTTCTATACAATGTTGGTGCACCAGTTAGCATCCATCTTGAATTTTCCCCCACCGAACTTGAATAGCCTTATAAGTAAGTAATTAATGTAACTTACGTAACCAGAGTAAATTACGTAACTAGAATAACTTACGTAAATGATCAAATTTACGTAAGTAACGTAAGTAGAATAACTAAACCGTTCGTGGTAAAACCACGAATTTTTATTTTTTCACAAAACACAAAAATCATAAATTTTTTTTTGTTATAAAATTATTACTATTAACAGATTTCTGCCGACTTTTTAATGTCTTAAAGTATCCCAAAACAAACAATCATCTCTAAGGACAGTATTTTATGACGCTGAAAATTACTGGATTATGCCCTGAAAAACTGATTATTATGCGAAATTATGCGTTGAAAAATTAAAAAGTGCAAATTGATGCTTTTGAAAGAAAAACGTTATTAAGGACCCAAATAAAGCTTTTAACATTATGTTAATTTTTTTAAGAAAAACCACCAAAATTTTTAAATAAAGCAACTTATTCTCTATAAATATAGAGTAAAGGTCGCATCATAAGAAATATGTTTTGCGATGACCACGGTAACAAGGAGCTGGTTTCTCAGAAATACAAAATTTAAACGAATTTAGTTAAAGTAAAAGATAAAAAAATGCTGTGGGTTCTCAGCTGATACTTTTTCCATTAATGATTAATATGAAGCATGATATTTTATAAACCCCCCTACTCCTTCAAATATCACATGCTTTATGGACGACCCCTTTCTTAAAAAAAGAAATCATTCTATTGAGGTGAGGAGTTGATTTTTATGTATTAAAAAAGCCCACTAAACTCAAGAAAAATCGGAGATTCAGTGCAGTAGTTTTTGAGAAATAGTGCGATCACCGATTTGTAAAATGCTGTTTTAAGAAAAACGAGTTTAAAATTTTATCATACTCTTTCATTAGACGAAATTTTGTTCCGGGCTACAGGAAGCCAGACTTAACTGAACCTTACTTCAGATCTTTAAAGCTTTATATCTCACTCAATTGTTAAAATATCAACTTATTATTTCACAAACATATGTCTGAGACCCTACCCACACAGTACCGAAACTTTCCTAAAAATTTATTAAAGATTTACTTGCAAACTTCGAAGAATTTACTTGCAAAGTTAGCTCAACATTTATTGAAGTGGGAAATTTAAATCTTTGCAGAATTTTCACTAAACTTTGCAAGTAAATACTTCCAAGCTTGCAAGTAAATTTTTAGTAAATATTTAGGAAATTTTCGGTGTTGTGTGGGTAAACTTAGAAAAAATACAAGAAAAGAAAAACCGATTTTTTGAAAATTACAACTAGGATTGCCCTTTTAATTATGGATGATTAATTTTATTCATAAATTTATGATAAAATGTATTTATAAACAGATATTTCGTTAATGCAGATTTAGACTGTGAAATATTTTTATATTTCTTGCACAAAAAATATAATTATGCACAATTATGCGAGAATGCGACGTTAAATTTATTTTATTTTATTCATAAACATTATAATACGTAAAACTTTAAAGTTTCTTTCAATTTTTGAAAATCATGCGATTATGTGCTTCGCACAAAGTGTAGGTCTCTAATCATCTCGTAGTAGGTTTTTGCTGAATATATTAATTTTGGTAAAATTCTTTCTGGAACATTTTCGTTTGCAGCATTTAACTCTAGTATCTAAAATTTTTCTAGTTGCTTTTGACCGAACTTCATGTCTCTCGTCACAAATCGTCGCTACTATTTTCAAGCAGTACGAAATAAGCGTTTAGGGAAATACTAGCATCCAAGACACGAGAATACTTTAGATGATCGTAATCAATACTTATGTATTAATTACGCTTAATGCATTCAAACGGAAGTCTGAATCCGTCCTTAATTGAACCTCCCAATTCTATAACTCGATCTACGCATCATTCACAGTCTCCTAGTTGAGCAAATTTTGATCTTTCTTCAACTTTTAAGTAATGTAAGAAAAAATTTTTTTTTAATTTGGACGATTAATTTAAATTTTTTATTTATTTATTTATACCTGATAATATACAGAAGATTTTCCTAAAAGTCCCAAGGTAGGTTGATTGAGTTTAAGGAGTTTAAAAAATGATTGGAGTTGTACCGATAATTTCCGATGGTAGTATAAATAAATAAAACGATTTTAGAAAACCGAAAAACAAAGAATTTTTTTTAAAAACTGGACAACAAACCTATAAAATTTCACATTTTTACCCCCTGTTATTTTCTATAGGGGTAAATTGACCCCAAAACACCGCATTTCTTAATTTTTTTGATAGAAAAATGTTTATAAAAAATTGTAAAACATTAAAAAAAATAATTATAGCAAGTCTTTAACGTCCAAGTGGTTTTTATAATAAGATATAGAAAAACGAAGACATTCAGACAAAGATTCGTTTAATGTTACTCCAACCTTTCGAAATCCACAGATTTCCTCTTCAGGGAGTTAATTTAGCAACAGTGAGAATTTAAATTTGTCATAAATAAATTTAAATTCGTCAGAAAATAAAAATATTACACCCATACATTGGAGCCATACAGAATCAAAAACTAATTAATAATTCATTTAGTAAAAATAATAAATAATAAGACACATATCATAAATAGTAAAGAAAACAAAAAATAAATTAGAACAATTAACCAAAACTAATAAATAAAATAAATAAAATTCCAATCGGGACTGACCATCACCGATGAAGGCACAATTTAATCATTAAACGAATCTTTGTCTGAATGTCTTCGTTTTTCTTTCTTATTAAAAAAAAATATTTTTTATGGTTTGTTGTCCAGAAAAAACTCTCATGAACAGAATCCCGTTTGAATTTTTAATTTATATGTAAAAGAGGTTGCCCGGAAACTGTCTCCCCGAGTAAAGGAGCATTCAGACCTCTGCAGGCTGCCTGCCTGCGCAGGCAGAAGATCGTTCACACCTCACTTTTCTCGTTGAAAAATGAGGGAAGATTTAAATATCTATTAAAATTCAAATCTTCCCTCATTTTTCAACGGGAAAAGTGAGGTGCGAACGATCTTCTGCCTGCGCAGTGCTGCGCAGGCAGGCAGTCTGCAGAGGTCTGAATGCTCCTTAAATGGTACCTTTTGGAAAACGCAGGGTGTCCAGCATAGCGATTGAGAAAAAAATTCCCTGACTTTTTACTAAACTTATTTTTGCTTTCTTGGGACAAAAATATGGTTACTAACATATTTAACAATAAATAAATATATAAAATTAAAGTAACAAATAGTAATAAAAACCATTTAAGTCTTGTTAGATTATACAATTTTTAAATTCACAAAATATTAAAATTTTTTTTTAAATTTATAGAAATTTTCCTGACTTTAAATGAAATACCCAGCCCTTTTCCATAATAATCCTCTTCCATTTTATTCTTTAATTTATAATAATAAATTAAGTAATTCTTAAAAAATTCTAATAATTTTTTACCTTCTCACAGTAAATTATGTGTTTTTTTTTAATATTTTCTATTAGATGAAAAAGTGACAGTTTCCAGGACCTCATATATTTAAATGCTTATTTTACAAAAAATAATAAAAATGTTTTTAAATTCATTTCATTTCGTGATCCTATTTGACCTTGAAAATCATTCGAGCAAAGTATTACAATTTTTTCTACCTCGTGGAGGAAGCTTTGTAGTCGTTCACTGAGAAAAATAAAGTTTGAAAAACTGGGAGTCAATATTGAAAAAATAGGACTCAGTCCAGAAAAGTATAAATATATTGTAATTTAACATATAATTAATCACAATTAAAGCTGGAAAATTCGCACTTTTATTAAAAATCATTCCCCTCTTCAAAATTATGTTGCTCTACAATAAAATATTATTTTTTATTTGAAAACGAATAAAAAATCTTATTCTGTATTGGAATTTATAATTTATTACAATTACACGGAAAGAATTTTGGGCAGGCAAAGCGAAACTTTGATATAAAAAATACTAAACTTTAAAAAAACTGATGTGAAATTTATTATAATTATATCAAATATTCAGAATATTAATTAAATTCTAATATAACTTTACTAAATTTCACATCAGTTTTTTTAAAATTTTGTATTTTTTATATCAATATTTCGCTTTGTCGCACTTTTTCCCCAGTTTGTAAAATACTTTTACAAAATTTAATAAAGATTCTCTATCCTATCTTTTCCAGTACTTTTAATAAAAATCCCTGACTTTCCTGAACAATTTTTTTTTTGTTTTTTAGAATCATATTACTATATAACAAATTTTTATTCTTTCCATTCAGACGAATGAACTTGATTTTACAAATGTAAAAGCAAAATAATCATGTAATGAACATCTGGATTCACAACTTGTTTAACCCTACGTCACACACATGAGAAAAAATTACGACTTTACACACGTTTAGAGGGAATCCCTCGCCACATTGTAAAATAAGAAACATTACAACATAAACAAAGGAATCAACAAAAATTTAGTTTTAACACAATCTTACAAATATGTAGTAAATTATTCTAAATTATAAAATTAATAAAAGAGGCATTTCACGTCAGAAATATCACGATTTGCAAAGGGTATGCCGATTTTCGCAAAACTTCGTGGGATTATAGTTCTATATAAGAGACTTCTTTCACCCAAATTTTTTCAAAAAGAATTCAAAATTGTTGAAGATACGCCATTTTGAATTTTAATATTAATTTTATAAAATTTTGAATATCTCGGAATATTGTTTATGGATTTTTATGAAATTTACACATTTTTCAGGTAAAAGTATGTACTTTAAAATGCAAATAAAGTTAATAAAAAAAAATTAATTTTTAAATAAAAAATTTAAAAAAAAATTTTTTGTTTATTTACTCCTCTCTGAGAAAAATGTTATTAACATATTTGGATTCCTTGTGAATTCACCTTTAATTTCATAAAAAAAAATTGATGGAGACTCAACTGGTTCCGGAAATATTGAATTTTTTGTAAAAAAAAGCGTCGCCGCGCCATAGCACCATACTGCTCAAGTCGCGTAGTACGTTACCGTAGTAGTGCATTGCTGCTGCAACTATGACTATTTTTTGCAAAAAATTCAATATTTCCGGAACCAGTTGAGTCTCCATCAATTTTTTTTATGAAATTAAAGGTGAATTCACAAGGAATCCAAATATGTTAATAACATTTTTCTCAGAGAGGAGTAAATAAACAAAAAATTGTTTAAAAAATTATTTAAAAATTTTTTTATTTAAAAATTAATTTTTTTTTATTAACTTTATTTGCATTTTAAAGTACATACTTTTACCTGAAAAATGTGTAAATTTCATAAAAATCCATAAACAATATTCCGAGATATTCAAAATTTTATAAAATTAATATTAAAATTCAAAATGGCGTATCTTCAACAATTTTGAATTCTTTTTGAAAAAATTTGGGTGAAAGAAGTCTCTTATATAGAACTATAATCCCACGAAGTTTTGCGAAAATCGGCATACCCTTTGCAAATCGTGATATTTCTGACGTGAAATGCCTCAAAATTAATTTTCTGTCTCAAAAATAAAAATTAATTACACGAATGCACATCTTCGAAGGAATTCCACTTGACATGTAAAAATAATGTAACATTAACAAATAGGCACAAAAAAAATCATTAAACAATTCATTTTAATTATATTTATAATATAATTTTGTCATTAACCAGCAGTGGAACAAAAAATGTTTTGAAAACTTGATTTTTTTATTTAACATAACCTCACTTTTTCGAGTTTTTTCTGGCTTTGAAGCTTCATAATTAAATATTAATTATGTTTAAACTAAATGTTTTTTTAGAAATGTGTTGAGGAGTAAATTATCGAAAGGTATAGAAACTGATTTTATTTTGCAATGAGGAAAACAAAAGTTATTTAAAAAATACTGAAACCGTAGAGGGAATCCCTCCCTAGGTGTGTGACGGAGGGTTAAAATTGCAATGTTTTAACAAAATCTCAAGCACTTTTTTTAGAGTAACATTTTTTTTAAATTTCTATTTTTAAATCATGATTTTTAAATAAATTTAAAAAATTGGCATAATTTCTATAAACTATTTTATGATCACAATTTTTGTAGTAAAATTTCTGACTTTTTTAATATTTAAAATACTTCTAGAGATTGCAAATATAATTAATAAAAATGTAAAACATAATATTGTTTAATTTTTAAATAATAATCAATAAAACATATTATTATATTCACGATATATATATATTAATTCTATGTATGATGTTTAATTTTTTCATTGCACAAGTTATAAATATTTCAATAAATAAATTTATTATTACTTGATATCGTATTCTCTAAATATTCAAATAAAAATTTGCCTTGTGATTTAACCTTAGGCAAAAACTGTTTTTTTTTAAATAAACAATTGCTTTGCGTGTATTGCTTTTGTTCTTAGGCAAAAATTACCTAAGTAAAAAGCACATTCTGACGATTATTTTTTTCAGTGTGAGAAAATACTTTAATTTTCTATTATTTTATAAAAAAAATTATTTAAATGTAAAGACTTTATTGTTAAATTTCTATTGACATTAGGAAGAGAAACTACACTCGCGCATTATTTTAATATAGAATATTTAGTAAAAATAAACGTAAAATTAAAAGGTACGTAAGTAAAAAGGTTTTCATACTAAATTATTTTTTTGATTTTCGAAAAAATGAATAATATAGGAGGTAAAGTAAGAGAGTAAGTGAATGCATATAACCTACCAGTATCTTTTACTAAGGAAAATCCAACTAAATTTTGCGCAGTTGATCCTAAAAATTCAGCACTACGACTGCTATTGGATGGTCTGGCATTGTTCTTTGTTCTCTGAGCCTGTTTACTCTTTCCCATTATAATCTTTAACTAAATTTTGCAACACGATTAGAAAAAAATGAAATCTTTAAAACATTTTCCATATGCATTTAATTCAGTTAACAGCTGATGATCATCAACTTCTTTCTTTCGGTTGAGTCCACAATAGACAAATTTATCTTGAAGCTGCTTCCACATCGACATGAGAATGGCCTTAAGGTGCTTCTACAATACGATCTAATGTGTGTGCGTCAGTGACAAAAAGGGTGCGATCCCATGTAAGCAAATATGTTTATTATTTAATTACAGTCTAAATTTTTAAATAAGATTTGTTTACCAATTTTACACAAATTGGAACTCATCTCAATTTCCATGTCTACAATCGAATAACTAATCGATTATTCAACAACTGGCTCTATTCGATTTCCGGCTCTTACGGAAATCGTAATGTCACGTCAAACCCAGCACACGTACAAGTGTAAAATACTCCAATAAATATTGTGGACTCAACCTGAAAATACTAATTTATTCTATTAATTGTGATGGTACCCATACTTCTTGGTATTTGAAGTAATAATGTTTTTTTAAGGATTCGTTTTAATATTTGAATATTTTGAATTTGAAAAAGTATTTAATAAAGAAATGATATTAGTTAAATAATTATTTAGAATGGGCGAGAAGAAGTTTTTAACACTTGTATGATCAAAAATTTGTAAAATTAACCTCAAAAACATAACCTATATATATGCATATATATGTATGTATGTATATATGTATATAAAATTGCAGATCAATAATTATATCAAATTCCATAACAAGAAATAAAGAAGCAATACACTAAAAGTAATTTTTTTAAATTTTATCTAAAGGAAAGACGAATAAAAAGCAAGAGTGTTTTCATTACTGAAAAGCCTAAAAAAAATATTATAAAGTAGAAAAACGACGATCGTTTCGTGTTTGTAGGGAAAATTGTGAGTTGATGATCCGACCGTAGGGCCGATCTTTGAAAAAGAATAAATTCTCGATCAGTCGTAGAGTTCGGCGAATTTATTTAGGGATGGGGTCGTAAGTTTTGGTCACAGGAATAATTGGATAATTCGCGTTTTACGAAGTGCGCTAAGTACGTTGCGCCGTGTTGCGCCGTTGACACTCGTCGTCCACACAACAGATTTGGTATTAACAAGAAAAGTATTTGAAATTTATAAACTTGAAGATAAGATGGCCACAAACACTGTCGACGACCAATATTTCTACGAAGACGTCGTTTACAGGGTTGACAAGAAGAACAATGTTGAATTTGGCATTATTATGGAAAATGACGATCAGGATATGTCCGATGACAGTTCTGCCAACGAGGAAAGTCCTAAAAGAAAAAAAGGAGAAATCCGCGTAGTATGGCATCCTTCCGGTGTCGAGGAACTCGTTAATTCCAAAAAGGTACAATTCAATCGTATTCCAATCAAACATTTAGCTCCCGATTTACCTCCCGATTTTTTCATATTCCTTAACCACAATAATCTCTAGAGAACACAAAATTATTGACCCCGGTTGACATTTATCTTATTTTTTTAACACTGTAAATAAATAATTTATAAAATGTTCTAGTCTCGACAGTTTTAAACTTTCTACATCCTCCACTTATTTCAAAATCTAAGCAATTCCACGTAAACAGATTCAATACAAAAAATTATCTTGAGGGACATTGTTGTATTTAAATTGACATTATTTCTACAACGATTAAGCGATTTTAATTTCTATATAGTGAATTTTTAAGTAATTTATTTTTCAATTCCAAAACTCTTCTTGCAAAGAAAATTATTTAACCCCCCTTTTTACATTCTCATTTCAAAAATAAACATTCAATTTTTACAGAAAACATCTATTTTATTTTTTTTCATTTTTATTGGAAAGCCGAGATTTTTTTACAACTTAAATTATGTAAAGTTCAAAAAAATAGGACAATAATGAGTTTTTAAGAAAATAAACAAAAAAAGTGTTTAAAAGTTGATTTTTTTAATTTCTTGAAAACCCGTTGTTACATTTTTAAACTTTAATCACAGTTGGTCCCCTTTTGCCCTTTTGTCCCCTTATTTCAATTTTATCACCTTTTCCTCTTTTTTGCTGATTTGACCCCATTTTCACCTTTTTCTAATCAAAAATAAACAAGTTTTTCTTTTTTTTAAATCTTTTTCAAAGTGTAATCATAAAATTTAGACTCAATGTTATAGAATTCAGTGCGTTTTATTTCTGATATAGATTATTAACACCACAACATAATATAAGTATGTTTTTTTATGTTAATGATTTAAATAATATAGATATCGTAAGGAATTTTATAAATTATAAGGTGGTTCATTCAACAGAATGCAGACCTCTAGGAAAATAATTAATTAACATTCAAATAATTAAAATATTATTATTAATAGTTTTTTCTATAAAAACAAAAATTCTAATACAAAACCTTCAATTTTTTCCATTTCTGACAATAATTTTTTTTTAAATAACTTAATTCTTGAAGAACTATCATAAAATTATAACTTAGAAATTATTTAATGAATAATTTTATTTATACATTTCAAAATTAATTGAATTTTATAATAGTTTCGTTTACAATATATATTTAATTAATTATTAAAAATAATGAATTTATCGAGGAATTTTAGTAAAAAACACAAAAAAAATTTGAATTTTGGAGAAGTTTCAAATATTGCAAAAATTCAATTATTTTCAAAAATTTTCCTAAATTCAATGATATTCAATATCAACTATTTTAAAAAAATTTTCCAAAAGAATTCAATTATTTAAAAAATTTTTTATTTAAATTCTACGCAAACGTTTAATTATTTTCATAAATAATAAAATAATTTCACAAGAATTCTATTATTTAAATTTTTTTAAAATAAATTTCGCAATAATTTCATTATTTTCATAAATAATCAAACTCATCGCAGAATTTCAATTATTTTTAATACAATTTTAATCAAATACCTCGAAAAATGTAATTATTTTAAAAAATTATATTAAAATTCGTCGAAAGAATTTAATTAATTTAAAAATTTGTTGATAAAATTCTTTATGAGAATTCAATATTAAGGAACATATGTGACGCTCCACGAGAAAAGGGACCTTATTTACTCTTGTCATAAGGTCCCTTTTCTCGTGGAGCGTCACATATATTCAAATTCAATATATAATATAATATAAATTATTCTATTTCTAATAGATTTCTAATAGAAATTGATTTAGAAATGAATTTCAGTTAAAATTTTAGATAATAATTGAATATTAAAAGCATTACAGCGTGAATTTTTAGAAATAATTGAATTTTGAAATTAATTTTTTTTAACAAGTTTCATTGAATTTTTTCTATATTAAGTATAAATTTTTATTTTCTAATATATATTTAATTGAAGAATTTACGAATTCTTATATATGAAATTTCGTAAAATTTAATATTGTAAACAAATGGATTTGAAAATTGTCAAAGAACTTTTTCGAAAATTATTAAAAAGGGACCGTTCAAAAAATACGTAACGCTTTTTGGGGGAGGGGGGGGGGGGTCGAGCTATTTGTTACGGTCAGCAGAAAAAATGGCGCTAATGTATACAACATTGCGTTACATGAGGGAGGGGGGGGGTCCAAATTTCCGAAAAATAGCGTTACATATTTTTTGAACGGTCCCAAATAATCGATTTCAAGAAGAATTTTAGTTAAAAATTCTTGAAAATAATAATTGAATTGATAATGATTTTATTGTCAGTAATTGGTCCGTAATTTTTCATTTTTGGTCTTTAGTCGAAATATAATGGAATGACTTAAAAAGTTATAGAATTTTATGACTTTTCTCTTAATTTTAATATTAATTGAAGAATAATTTACCAAACATTTAAGTAATTCCCAGAAAATTCAAATTTTTACCTGACCGTTTCACGTGGAATTTCTTAAATCTTGAAAAATTTTTTATAACTTATTTAATTGTAAATTTTAAATGTATAAATTGTCACGTTTTAGAATAGCAAATTAACTACATAAACATATGATTGGTAGGTTCATCTTGCAGATAGAACTTTAATGCCAGGAGATGTTGTGCGGCGTATGATAAAAGGAAAAGATACTCAGAGAGGTTATTGTAGAGACATTGAACTCTCAGCATGTGTTCAAGTCATTGGTTCAAAGCAAGTTCTCACGAACATTAAAAGCGAGGATCTGGTTCCACTCGAGGTACATTTTCCTTTAAAATTATTACATTGCATGTTTATTAAAACTTGAAATCTGTAAAATTGTTTTCTGTGAAAAATTATCATTGTATTTAAAACTTTTTGCTCAACATTGAGAAAAAATACTAAGTAATAACTAAATAATAATAGTAACAAATTTAAGAAGAATAGTTTATTTTGACCATCAAAGGAAATAATCTAAATAATACACGATTTAAGGGGAATGGGTCAATAATAGAACACAATTATTTCTCCCTTCATTTGAAATAACTAAATGCTTTTTATAAACATAAACTGATTTTTATGTAATCGAGATGCGTTTTGGCATTTTTAAGTGAAAGCGGGCGCAAAAGAACTTTTGCGCCCGTTTCCCTGACCCCGGGCGAGAATCAGTTACTTTGTGCCCACCTTAAGTGCCCGAAATAACATACTTTTCGTGCAGGTAGGACAACAAAAAATTTTTACTCTTGTAAAACTGAATCCTTTTTAACCACTTTACCTATGAAATTTCAAGTTGAAAAAAATTGAACTTATTCTTTAAATCTTTTTGAACAATATATAGAAAAAACCTGAGCCCAAATTAGTTATCTATATTAAAACTTATTTTTTTTATTTTAGACAAATTTTAACAGTAAAAATAAATACAAGTTATAATTAAAAATATTAGAAGTATGAGAACTTTAAAAAAATGCATTTCTGATGTTTGCTTTTTTATTTGTATATTATTATTAATTTTTGTTGAAGGATATTTTATACAAAGAATTATAAAGCAACATATAAAATTTATAGTTTAATTTTTACAATTACAAACTCCTTGATTTCTGATTCATGAACATTTAACCATAGTCATTTGCAAAAACATTTAATTTTATTAAAATTACGGGAACTTTGTGTAATTTTCAAAGAAGCATTTCAGTCCATAAAGCTTGGATTTTCTAAATTTTGTTCTTTGCGTCCTCCTGAATGTGTTATCGCTGGTTCTTCTGGTACTCACAGCGTGTGTGTTTGCCAAACTCATCAAAATTTTTATTTGCTTCTATGGATTTTTAATCGAAACTACAAATGTAGAGATGTTATAAATGCAATAACGTGTGATAAAAATAATCGAAATTGCTTAATGAGACGATACGAAAGAAATTCTTGAAGACTAGAAAATGGAAAAAAGTTGAGTTCAAACAGTGGACTACTCAAGATCGCTCCGAACTGGAAACCAAAACTGCTTCGCGTTATGAAATATTTCAATTAATATTTGATACTATTGATAATGTATTTCAACATGACTTTATTGCGAAACAGCAATCATAATATCTATCACATAGAAAAAAGTTATTAATGGAAACTGAAGCACTTATTCTAGTAGATTTTAGTGAGAACTTTTCTTTTAATTTTCAAGACGAAATTGAAAGTGCTTACTGGACCAAGAAATATTGCACGATTCATTCAGTAGTATTTTATTATAAAAAAACGAAGAACTTAAGTACAAGTCTCTTTGTATAATTTCAGATGTTCTTAAACATGATACCTCTGCTGTACAAACGATTCTTTCTAAGGTGATCGCTTACATAAAAGAAAATATTTCCGACGTGACAAAAGTAGAATACTTCAGCGATGAATGTAGCGGACTGTATAAAAATTGTACCATGCTGTCTTTCGTGTGTAAACCCGAAAAACAATTTGGCGTTGCCGCTTTTTGGTCATTTTTTGTACCTAGACATGGAAAGTGACGGTGTGGGTGGCACTAAAAAAGACTTGCTGCAACTGAGAATATAAGGTCTGCTGACAATCAAATAGAAACTGTTCAGGAGTTATTTAATTTCTGTCAAGATTTGAATTCATCTATACATCCAATCTTACTCAAGGCAGATGAAATTACACTCGAATCTCGCTATAACGAGAAGTTCGGGAGTCAAGTCTCCCTCTATTACGAGCGCAAGAGGAGAAATGAGAAATCCCCACTTTTAAGATTCTTTATTCATTTTTTTAGTGTTTACAAATTAAATAATGTCAAAATTACAAACGTAACCTAGTTTACTTTGAACTTTAACATACAGAAAATTTATATAAGCTTAAATTTTGAAGATGTTCGACTCATTGATATAATTTCAAATAAGAAGTGACTTTTTATTTTTATTTCATATAAATAAAATTGATTTTAACCAAATTTAAACCAACTGAATGTGCATTTGTTTATAAATAGTGGGGGTAATCGGGAGAAAATTTTTCTCGCTATACCGAGAGACAGAGCCCTCGTTATAGAGAGCGCTCGTTATAGAGAAGGTCGTTATAGCGAGATTTGAGTGTAATCCATTTAGACATGAAGAAGAAAATTTAACTTTAAAAACTGTACCAGGAATGAGATCTCTTCAGTATTTCGAACCATTAAGTCCTACAATAATGTGCTGTAAAACAACTAGTTTGGAAAAGATATTTGTTGTAAATTATGATATCTCGACTAATTTTAAAGAAAGCTTAAACGCAGAGTATAGCGAGAACATGTACGACGGATTTACGGAAATTGATGATTGGTTCATAGGACAAAAAACATTGACAAGGAAGAAGAACAAACAGCCCAAATAGTTATCATGCAAAGGGTACAATCTGAAGAAAAAAGTTTACACGAAAAAAATCATCGTATAAAACCGTTAACACCTTTTCTGAATGATTCGACAATCCACCTGTTTTGACTGTTCTGTTCTCAAAAATATTATGTTGCGTTAATAAATCTTTAATTCAATCGTCGAATAAATACAGACTTAATCACACAAAAGTTGTTAAATTATTTAATGAATATTTGCAAAAGGATTTGTAAGACCAGTTAATAAGAAATCAATGAGTTTGTAATTGTAAAAATTAAATTATAAATTTTATATTACAATAAAATAGAAAAATGTTGCTTTATAATTCTTTGCATAAAATATCCTTTAACAATAATTAATTAATATTAATAATAATAAATATATTTATAGGGTCAGTCCATTGTATTTCACCTGAAGCCGTTGCGGCCTATTTTTAAAAAAATCTCATAATTTGTCAAAATGATGTTTAATATCCATAGAATTCATTTTTGAGAATTATTTTATAAAATTTTTTGAATTTAACTTAGAATTTTAATTTTTAAATTGAGTTGGACAGAAAAAGGGTTAGATTGAGAGTTATGAAAATTGAATACAAATGTATGGAAATAATTTAGATAATACAAATTTCTTGATTGATATTTGTTAAAAATGAGCTAATTTACTTGTATTTTTTTATTTTTATTTATTTGGTTTATACACCCGTCTTAAGCTTATCTAGCTATACAAGTGTGTTTACATTTTCTCTTACATAATATTTCTTATATACATTTTGCTAATACTAAGTTTTGCGCCTACAGAGCGAATTGAAAATTAGGAGTACTCGCATTTGCCTGGACCACCCGTCTAATGGGTTTTCTCGCCAGTGGAGAGGGAAACTGTAGAAAACCTCTCCTGAGTACAACCGGTTTTATCGACAGTCGAGTTCTAATGGTGTGTACCGGACAATAATCTACAGTGTACATCATTATACCTCGACGTCAAACCTATACCCTTGGTCCTTAAACGACCGCCAAGCGAGGCATCTATCCGACTGAGCTAATCTGTCGGTAATTTACTTGTATAAATAGATTATTGTGTAAACATTCCCAAAATAATAGATAAAAATTGATTTTAAAATTTACCTATGAAATTGTCAAAAATCACTACATTTTAATTACATTTTTCTAAAAGGTTTATAAATATTAAAAAATGTATTACTATTTAATGTAAAGTATTTTTAATGTACTTTCATAATATGTGCTAACTTTTTAATTTTATAATATAGAAATATGAAAAATTTTACCTTTAATATTGAGTGTTTCATGATTTTTAGTGATTATAATCACTTATTTCTTCTCAGGTGCAAGACTAAAAAATCCAATTTTTGTCTTAATATTTAAGTTTGAACTTCTTTTCCATTCTATTAAATTTTGGTAATGGAGAACGAGCTACTTTGTAGTTTTATTCATGTTTAAAAAATCTGCTTCCAAAAGCGAGTTTGTTGGTTAAAATGCAGGTAATTTTATAACACTGAAGTTGGCTATCTCAATAGTCATGCAAAAATCTACTTGCATTTTAACCAACAAATTCGTTTTTTTAGCAGATTTTTTTAACTAAATTTAAACTGAAAAGTAGCTCGTTCTCCATCACCAAAATTTAATAGAATGGAAAAGAAGTTCAAACTTAAATATTAAGACAAAAATTGGATTTTTTAGTCTTGCACCTGAGAAGAAATAAGTGATTATAATCACTAAAGATCATGAAACACTCAATATTAAAGGTAAAATTTTTCATATTTCTATATTATAAAATTAAAAAGTTAGCACATATTATGAAAGTACATTGAAAATACTTTACATTAAATAGTAATACATTTTTTAATATTTATAAACTTTTTAGAAAAATGTAATTAAAATGTAGTGACTTTTGACATTTCAAAGGTAAATTTTAAAATCAATTTTTATTTATTATTTTGGGTATGTTTACATAATAATCTATTTATACAAGTAAATTAGCTCATTTTTAACAAATATCAATCAAGAAATTTGTATTATCTAAATTATTTCCATACTTTTTTATTCAATTTTCATAACTGTCAAATCTAACCTTTTTATGTTCAACTCAATTTAAAAATTAAAATTCTGAGTTAAAATCAAAAAATTTTGTAAAATACTTCTCAAAAATGAATTCTATGGATATTAAACATCATTTTGACAAATTATGAGATTTTTTTAAAAATAGGCCGCAACAGCTTCAGGTGAAATACAATGGACTGACCCTATATTTTTATAAATATATTTTATATTTCTATAAATAGAAATTAATATTTCTAATACTCTTTATTATAACTTGTATTTATTTTTACTGTTAAAATTTGTTTAAAATAAAAAGAAAGTTCCAATACAGATAATTGATTGAAAATTTTCCGAGGATTGTGAATTTCGGCTCA